AAAAAAAAAAAAAAAAGGCATTGGCTATATGTTTGGAAATTCGGTTTTATACTGTGGATAGTGGGGAAAGGGAGGGAAGAGCGCCATCCAGGGTCCATGTTTCAGCCACTGTAGATGATGGCCTGGAATGAGGGGAGCCGTTGGTGACAGAGACCCTGAAGGAGGTTGACAGTCCAGAAGAGCAATGAAGAGACCCGAGCTAGAGCAGAGTTTGGAGAGGCCTATCAAGTGGATTGGAGGAGTTAAATATGACAGAGATGCCTTTTCACTTGGAGTAGGAAGATCCAGAGGGACAGGTTCAAGCAGAACTGATGAGTTCTGTTTGAGGGGCCTGTGGAACATTCACATGGTGTCTAAAGCAGGGAACTTGAGCTGAAGATTTGGGAGTTAGCAACTAAACCGGATATAACTGAAGCCCTAGGAATAGAAGAGGTCTCACTGGACAAGTGTATGTATATGGAGAGCAAGGGTGGAAGACAGATTCCTGTGGAACCCCAACATTGAAGAGGAGAGGAGCCAGTGATGGAGGCTGAGAAGGAACATTGGTAAACAGGGAGGTGGAGAACCAGAGCAGAATGGTGTAGTGGAAGATATGTTCACATATGTGAGTAAGGGCTCTCCTGCCAAGGTTTACACTGTCCTTGGTAACCAGACCTGCACTGACCTCATAGAGATGATGTCAGGAACTGAGGCCACTGACAAATAGCCCACTCAGACTTGCCCACATGGTCCCAGAAGTGAGGGTGTAGAGTGGAGGGAGGTGGGTGACTAACCAATGGAATTGCAGGTAACAACCTATATGGAGAAGAGATGGTGCAGGCCCTGGAACGACTGAGGGACAATGAAGAGAGGGCCTCCTACATCCTCATGGAGAAGATTGAACCTGAGCCATTTGGGAATTGCCTGCTACGACCTGGCAGCCCTGCCCGAGTGGTTCAGTGCATCTCAGAGCTGGGTATCTTTGGGGTCTATGTCAGGTAAGCAATCATAAGGGGCTCTTCCTATTACCTTCCTGCCAAAATGCCAGTCAAGCAAGGTTAAGGGACAACTGGGCAAGGAAGGTCAGGGATCCTGGGCTTCCATCCCAGCTCTTGGCTGTGGTACCTCTTTCCTTATGCATAAAATGAGACGAGTGAGCTAAGACCTGCCCAGCACACAGGGATAGCAAATGAAGCCCAGATGAGATGTTGCTTTGTAATTATACAGGAAGTATCAAGTAGTATCATGAAGGATGAGAACATTTGGATTGTTAGTCTAGGACTGGAAGAGGATCCTAGTGAAGATAAGTTTGGGCCTAACTCCCAGGCTACTGGGGATTCTGGAGAAAGGTAGGGTGGGGCATCTGGATGCTACTTGGAGACTTTGAAAAGCTGAGTGGCTCCCTGGATTTGCCTACATATAGTTTTTCATGTTGTTGTTAGATGCCAGAGTAGAACTGTCCCATAGGGTTTCCATAGTGAAAACTTTTATGGAAGCAGAGTCACTGGTGGGCTCAAACTGCTGACCTTTCAGTTAGCAGCCGAGTGTTTCATCATTGCCCCACCAGGGCTCCTAGCTCCCTGGGTTGGAATTTAAGCACTTAATAATGAGGAGGAGAAGGGCTCAGGAATTTGTGGGGAGCAGCACCTGGTCCCTCATACTGCTTCCTGCAAAATACTCACTCCGAGGTGAGGATTTAAGGCAAGCCTGGAATACCAGGGTCTATCCTTTCTATAACCACCACCTCTCCCACTTCTATCATTTCTACATGCTTCTTTCCACCAATCCCCAATACCTTCTTGAAAGCTAAAGAAGGAAGTTTATCACTACTGAGAATGAAATATGAGCTTGGCATCATGCCAAGTATTCCTACCTTATTTCATCTCCATGACCATCTTGCAAAGTAAGGGCTATTACTCATATTTTAAATTGCGGAAATTGGTATGTAGAAAGGCTAAGTAACAAAGTTGCAGAGCTAGTAACTTTCAGGCTTAAAATTCAAACCCAAATCTGACTCCAAAATTTTAGCACTTTCTTGAGGGTAGTCACCCATATTCTGCTCAGCTGGGAACAGTGAAAGGTTCTGAGTTTGGGGGCTGGGCCCAGGTGATAGACTTGTGTGTCTCCTGCTCCATCTCTGTAGGCAAGGAGACACACTTGTGATGAACAAACACGTGGGTCATCTGCTTCGAACCAAAGCTATTGAGCATGCTGATGGTGGTGTGGCAGCAGGAGTGGCTGTGTTGGACAACCCATACCCTGCATGAGGGCACAGCCGAGCTGACCAAGACTTCTCTCAAGAGATCGTCTATCCTCTGTCCTTGTCATTCCTCTCCAGCCCTTTGAGAGGCTGCCCTTGCCCTGCCTTGGGAGGGCTAGCCTCTTCCAGAGACCTTTAGGGTCTTCATGGAAGGGTAAATGCTGGGTACCTTCCCCCAACTCTCAATCTGAGGACTAGATACGCTATTTCCCTTAAATGAGATCTAGAGACTCTTGAATCCTTGGAGTGTGGGTATAGACTTTGAGGTAAAGATAAATAAACCCTACCATCCTCCTGTTAGTCCTTTGTCAGCCTTTTCAGCAGGTCCCAGTGCCTGACTTTGGGTAGGACTGAGGGATAAGAGAAGTGAAGGGAGTATCTAGCCTTTCTCCGAAAGGAGAAATAAAACTTAAATAAAACTCTGTTGTGGTTCTGTGATTTGTTGATTTATGCATCTAGGGGAGAGATGAGCCATTAAGGTGGTTTGGAGGTGACCGGACTGTTAATTAGGATCTCCCTAGACTCAAACCCTGTGATCCCAGTGTTCAATCCTTAGTTACTAATGCTTCCTTTGGATCATAGTGAAAAAAAGAGGGTTCCTGGGAAGAGTGAGGTAGTGAGGGTAACTGTTACGGGACATCACTTTCGTGAGCTGACTTCAACTGATTTTGAGTCTTCTGCTCAACTTGAGGTCTTGTCAAGAGGCCTACCTCTGCCAAGAATGAAAGTTCTAAAAAAGAGAGGCTATCCTTAGGATTGTTGATGTTAAGTGAGGGTTTTTGTGGAACAGCTGGTGAGCTTCAACTGTCAATCTTGCACCTCGAACTGACCCTGTAGTCTAGCGCACTAACCCACAGCACTACACCAGGACTCCATCAGGCCTGGAAAAATTACTCCCTTTCTATCTCCCTTCCCAAATCAGAGTGGCTGACACATATAGACATACCTCAGAGATATTGCAGGTTTGGTTCCAGACCACTGCAATAAAGCAAGCCACAAATATTTTTGTTTCCTAATGCATATAAAATTATACTGTACTGTAATCTGTTAAGTATGCAAAAGCATTATGAAGAAATTTGAATTATTATCAGAATGACCAGAATGTGACAGAGACACAAAGTGAACACATGCAGATGGAAAAAGGGCACCAAATGGCTTGCTCATGGCAGAGTTTCACAAACACTCCATTTGTAAAAAACGCAAGATCTATGAAACGCAATGCAAGATACCCACAAAAACAAAGTCACTTTCCTGAGGTCACAGACTTTATTTCTACAATCAAAGGGCTTGAGCATGACTGAGGCAAGAAAAGCATTTCATCTGAGTGTCTTCCCATGGGCAGGACTCTGTTCAGGGGAGGTGGGAACAGAGGACAGAGAAGACAAGCTCCTCTGGTCCTAGGAACCTAATGACTACTCCCAATGAACCCGACTGTCTGAAAACCCTTGGTAGATTGAGCCTACCCTCACAGCCCCTGGAGCAAGTGGGCAGACGACACTCATCTGGTACATCTTGAAAAGGTCATTTAAACCTAGAACAGAACCAGCAACATGTTTTTTTAAAAAATAGTAATTATTCCAGGATTCAGCAATGGGCATTTCTAAGTGTAATAGGGCATGCTCAAGGTTAAATATGAACACAACTGGTGCTTCCTGAGTTACAACAAAGGGTTAACAGCTGCCTCCCTGCTTCAATCTAGACCCTTACTTGCCCTCCTAACATGTGAGTTGGGGGACATAACCTTTAGATCACTGTTGTGGTGTCCAAGAGCTCTTTGTAGTCTGGGGTTATCGCAATCTGATGTTGTCCTGAGCCCTGTCACATCTGCCTAGCAGGCACAGGAAGTTGTCTCCTCCCAGGGGCAATGCTGTTCCTCAGTTCCAGACAGCAGATTGAGGGAGGTGGTTGAGTAAGCACTAGCCCTCAGCATTCCTGGAATTAGGGGGCAGGAGGGCTGTAGGGGGGCAGGAGGGAGGATGAGCACAACTTTTAAGAGCCAAGCAGGGGGAATCCTGGGTAAAGGACAGGGTTCACTGGGTGACCAGGCAGCGGTGGCTGAAGAGGTGGCTGATGACAGATGGGTCAGCCACAGTAGATGTGTCCCCAAGGTCGTGGTCATTCCGAGCGATCTTCCGAAGTAACCGCCTCATGATTTTCCCTGAGGGAACCACAGTCCTCTGGTTACCTGGTGACAGCACCAACCCTCCCAGCCCAGCAAAGGCTTCCATACACTCCACCATCCCCAGGCCGGGAGCCTCTGAACATACCTGATCGAGTTTTAGGCAAGCCAGGTGCATTCTGGATGTAATCCGGTGTGGCAATGGGGCCAATCTTTTCTCTAACTGTAACCAACATCATCAAGCATTTTTTCAGCATCTTTCTCCAGGCTTATGGAACTCATTAGGTTATTGAATCAGCCTGCTAGGGTTACTAGCACTGAATAGCAAGTGATTTAATTTCTCTGGGCCTCAATGCCTTTATCTTTAGAATGAGGGTAACAAGATCTATTTCATGGGGGTGACTGTAAGGATTAAATGGGATAATGCACTTAGCCCAGTAGTGGCACACAGAAAGTATTCTATAAATGTTAGCTCTGGTTGTAGAGAAACGAGTGGGAGACTTTGTGGTTTGCTCCTTCCCCTCCCCAAATGCCCAGGGAGGTTCCTCACTTTGCTTCTTGAGCTCCTCGGTAAGGGTGGGGTTGAAGGTGTGACCATCACACAAGGTGACAAAACAATATAGGCATTCGCCCTTCACAGGGTGAGGGTGTCCCACCACAGCAGCCTCTGCAACAGCCTCATGTTCCACAAGTGCTGACTCCACCTCTGCAGTACTCAGCAGGTGTCCTTGTTAAAGGAAAGCAAGTGCCATGAAGAGAATGCAATCTCTCACCCCAACTTCTGCTTCACCTGTACCCACAGGGCAGACCTAGTGGGCTCAAACAGGAAGGCTCTTCATTCAATCCTCACATGTTTCCAGTTACCCCACCAACCTGGTTGCCCTCTAGGCACATTCTAGTGCTCGTTAACTTCCTCTGAAACCTGGGCCATTACTATTGCACCCCAGGCAAGTGCTTTGAATGCTAGGGGGAGGAAGAGGTGATCCCTGAGCCTCACCAGATACATTGAGCATGTCATCAATCCTGCCGGTGATCCAGTAATAGCCATCCTGGTCCCTCCGGCAGCCTGGGAAGCAGAGGTAAGATCACACACCAAGAAGTGCACAACATAACAAAGACCCCACCAAACTTACACCCACTACAATAGTCTTCTAGCAAGTCTTCCTGCTGCTTCTACTCTTGCCTGCTGTGGAAGTCCGCATCCAAGATGGCCCCATGATCTTGGCCTACTGGTATTGATACCTCTGTGTAGTCCCCTTTCTCATTTTACTAAGATTGGTCGGTGTGATCAACAGAATGTGGCAGAAGTGATGGGATGTCACTTCTGAGATTAGGTTATAAAAGACTGCAGCTTCTGTCTTGGTTGGGCACTTTCTAAGGTCATTACCTCTGGGGGAACCCAACTTTCAGGTGAGTAGCCCTATGGTGATGGCGGTGGTGGTAGTGGTGTGCTGAGTCGGTTCCAACACACAGCGATCCAATCTAGGGTTTCCTAGGCTGTAAATCTTTATGGAAGCAGAAAGCCTCCTCTTTCTCCCGCAGAGTGGCTAATAGATACAAACTGCTGACCTTGAGGTTAGCAGCCCAACACATAATCCTGTAGGCTACCAGGGCACCTTGAATAGTCCTATCAAGAGTCCCATGGGGTGAGGAACTGCACATTCCCACCAACAGCCATGTGGGTAAACTTGGATGTGGGTCCTAGAGCCTCAGTCAAACCTTCAGATGACTGCAGTCCCAACCAGTAGCTTGACTGCTCCATGAGAGACCCTGAGTGAAAACCACCCAACTAAGCCATAATATTTGTTGTTTTAACCTGCTAAATTTGGGGGTAATTAGTTCCGTGTCAATCTATAACTAATATGCCTGATGTGGCACTTTGGGCTAGTGTGCTGGACTGCAAAGTTGGTTTGAACCACAAGGTTGGCAGTTCAAGTTCACCAGCCACTCCTTGTTAAGTTCCATTGAGTCAGTTCTGACTCACAGCGACTCTGTATAGGGTTTCCAAGGAGCAGCTGGTGAGTTTGAATTGCCTGCCTTGAGGTCAGTAGTCCAGTACTAATCTTACAGCCCCACACCACTCCCTAATATGGCATTTTTGTTGTTGTGCTTGTTTTTGGGTTTTTTTCCCCCTGTTTCCTCTTATTAGAACAGAAAGCTCCATAAGAGCAGGAATTGTGCCCATCTTGATCACAGTAATACCCCTGTACTTAAAACAGTGCCTGAACATAGTAGATGCTCAATAAATATTTATAAATGAATGGACTGATGGATGGACAAATCCATGTCCCCAGGCTCTAAACATGGGGACACACTACTACATGTCCCATCTCTTTCAGTACAGGAGCAATGCAAAGTAGAACTTCTTTCCTCATACATCAAATTTCAGGTGATGTTACCCTGAGCCCCTTCCTGCAGTACTCATTCCTATCTTCCAGTCTTCTCTGTAGCTCTGTCTGGACACCAGACACTGACACATGTGACATGTACTTCTGTTCTTCAGCCCTAATCAACTCTGAAAATGGAGGAGGACAAAGGGACATGTCTTGGTGAGAGATGGTAAAGAGGTGTTGCCAAGGCTCACCATCTCCTGTTACATAGTACCCAGGGAACTTCTTGAAGTAGGTGGTCTCAAACCGTCCGTGGTTTCCATAGACTGTGCGCATGATACCTGGCCAGGGCTGTTTGAACACCTGGGGAGTGAAGAAGACAAATGGTCACATCTGCTACACCCCTCACTGGCAGATAATCACAGCTGTGCCAACCCTAAGGAGAAATAGCCTGAATGCCATTCCTGAGACACAGGAAGGAGTACAGGCTTTGGAGATAGACAATCCTGGCCTGGAGTCCCAACTCTACCATTTAGTACCTGTGTTACCTTGGGTAAGTGACTTCACCTCTCTGACCTTCAGGATCTTCATCTATAAACCAGAAAATAGTCTACCTTCCAAAGTGATCCTGAAAATTAAATTAACTAATATACGGAATTTGCCTAGCAGTGCTGTTAGTGATAAATGTTTAGTAAATTTGAGTCTTCTGTTGCGTCATACCTCAGGAAAACAGGCTCAGTTTCATGTATGAATGAAAGAGTCATTATTGGCCACACATGAACAAACAGTTATTGTCCTAGTCAATAACATCTGTAGCGGCAAATTAATGGAATGGACAGAACTAAGGCCAAGATTCAGAAGGCCTGGTTTCAAGTTCTGCCCCTGCTACCAACTTGCTCTTGGGAAAGTAATGTAGTGGGGATGGAGAATGAGAGTTGGTGGTCTCTGAGGCCCCTAGAAGTACAAATAGAACAATAGCTAACATTTATCAAGCACTATCAAACCCACCAGCTGTTCCTTGGAAACCCTATACAGGAACCGACTCAATGGCACTTAACAGTTACAACAACAGAGTTTCTATGCTAAACCCTGCATCAATCCATTAGAAGACAAAGGTAATATAACTTTATTTTACAAATAAGCAAATTTAGTTTCAGAGGGGTTAGATAACTAATCTGAGGTCACATAAAAGGCAGTCAGGATTTGAACCCCTGCAGGCTGATTTCAGAGTCTGTGATTTTCTACTGTGCTTGAAGCCTCTTTTCACTCTAAGAAGTCAAAGGAAGAGCTGCCGAAAGGTTGTCTTATGAATCTTCATGCTCCAATGGGCAGAGAGGCACAGGCAAAGTATCCAGAAGGAGTTCCCCAGAGTCTTTCAGCCGAGGGTAAACCCCTAACTATGCAATTTTGTCCCCAAGCAACTACCAGGAGAAATTAGATTCTAAACTTTGACACAAAGTAAGTACCCTGTGTACACCCGTCCAGTCTCCCCAAGACCCCAAGAATCGGTGTCTCACCAGATAGCCTTCAGCTTCACCCTCTTGCTCTTCCCCAGACTCATTCAGAATTGCAGGAGCTACACCAAAGAATGGGACGGTCTAGAAGCAAACAAGAGACAGGGACTAAAGAGAGGACGAGGCAACTCTGACTCAACTTCTTATCTTTCCCAAGAAGCCCTGGTACTCCAACTTCTCACACATGCTAATTCAGTCCCCAGCCCTTAGATCAGGGATGGAGAACCTTTCTGCTGCCAAAATTTATACCATAATTTGCGGGCCATACAAAATTATCAATTTAAAAATTAGCCAGCTATATTTGGTCAAACATTTAATTAACTCACTCCTAACTGATGGCTGGAACTGCAGTTGCCTTGGCAGAGCCAGACCATATAATTTCATGGGCCTTCTATGGCCAGCAGGTCAGATATTCCCCACCCCTGCTCTAGATAGATCAAATACTTCAAGACTCTAACCCTGCCTAAGCCAGGAACAGCCAAGTGTAGCCTCACTCACAGCAGAACCAGGCTTCATAGGTATGGCACCAGGAAGGGGGGTCAGCATATGGCCACCCTGTGGAAGTCAGAGATTAGGAGTTTGAGTCAGTCTTTGCACACTGTCCCTGAACCCTTGCCCTCTTAAGCCCTCACTCACTGTCTCTGTCTGCCAGAAAGTGTCCACAATGGGGCAGCGCTGAGCACCTACTACCCGGTGGTACCACAGCCAGGCCTCAGGATTGATGGGTTCCCCCACTGTGCCTAGTATCTGTAAGGATGCCCGGCTGTGCCTTGGGCAAGGGAACAAGAAGAGAGAAAGATTCTGATTACTCCTGAGATCCAGGAAGTCATGCCCAGACTCTGCAGCCCCCTTCCCTCTTCTAGGCCAGGCAGTGAGAACAATAGAATGGAATAGACTATGCACAAAGGCCAGCACCAAGCTCTGAGAGACACTCATGGAGCAGCAGCTAGGGAGGGGAGGGGTCTCACTTGGTGACAGGTTCATCTCCAAACTTCATGAGCAGGCGGATGGCTGTGGGTGCTGTGTAGAACTTGGTCACTTTGTACTTGTCCACGATGCTCCACAGGCGGCCAACGTCCGGGTATGTTGGGATCCCCTCAAACTAACCCCAGTGAAGGCTGGTCATCCCTGGTCTTTTTCCAAGAGCCCCTCTCCCTCACCCACCATATCCTAAGGCTTGGTACTTTGCCCCTTTTGACCAACCCCAGTATCTTCACTGAGACCAGATAAACCAAGGGGCCTTCTTAATCAGTATACACAATCCCTTCAGAGCTCTTCTTTTTCTAAAGTCCAGCAATCAGGTCATAGTGTAAAGCTTCATGCCCCTAGACCAACTGGTATTGGGAGGTAGTCACCCAGGATCATCTTGTCCATCCCCAACTTTAAGCCATATGGCCATAGGTCCCAGCTCCCTTACCAAAACACTGGTGGCAGCATTAGCCAGTGGTCCATAAGTGATATAGGAATGGCCAGTGATCCAGCCAATGTCTGCTGTGCACCAGAATACATCCTCTGGATGAAAGTCAAACACATACTTGAAGGTCGTGGCCACATAGAGCATGTAGCCCCCAACTGTGTGTACTGCACCCTGTGGGAAAAATAGGGTCTTAGACTGGAGCTTGTGCCCATCCCCACTGACCACCAGATGAAGACTGAGAAAGAGCTGGGACTTGGGTCCTCCTCAGGGACTTGGGTCCTGCCAGCACCCCTTTCATAGCATCCATCTCTCTTCAACCTCCTTTCCTGCATTCTTTCATCTAATTTCTCTTGCACCCAGAAGCCTAGTCAGTCCACTAGTGCACACATACACTTATATGGTATTCGGAGCCACCCACATCACTCCTATACATGTACACTTCTAGCACACATCTAATAGCCTCTCTGTTGTGTATTTGTACACACATTCAATTGTACACTGCCAGAGAAATTCAGTGAGAGGAAAAAGCCAATCCCCTTTGCTCACTTCTCTATGCCAACTTCAGGAAGGAGAGGCCAAAATTATGTTTCCAGAAGTCCACTGAGTCTAAAGCATAATGACAGAAGAAATTAGGAATGGGTGACTGGAAAGTTGAGTGACATAGCTTTCAACCGAAGTAAAGGGAAGACTAGGGTTTTCTCAAGTGTTTCCAGGAATAGTGGAGGCCAATGCCTAGCTCCCACACGGTGCCCGGGGAAGAGACTAGATGTTAATAGTATGGCACGTGAAAGGACTGAACACTCAAGAACTGTGGTCCTAGGACTCTAAGAGGGACCCCTGTGCCCACCTTTGGCCTTGAGTTGACAGAAACTCTCCTTTTACTAATTCATGTGGACCTGGTAAGGAACATCCATGTCAACCACATGGACTAACTGCGTCCCTCTTTTCTGGGCACAATGAAAGCCCCACCTAAATCGTCTCACCCTGGTAGGAGGAATGCATGAAAACATGGCTAAAATTGAATTTCTCACTACCTAGTAATTGAGGATTTCATATTTTAATTTGGTTTCTAAACAGTAATGTGACATTTCTGAAACTGAAAGTTGTAGAGTAAAATTCATGTCATCACATGCTCCTCACAAACTTACTTTCCACTCCTACACAGAACACACACACACACACACACACACACTATTCAGATTTGCCTTGGGTTTGCCTGTGGAGCCACTGGTGTACAGGATGAAGAGGGGGTCCTCAGCATCACACCATTCGGGTTCACACTCATCCTCTGCTTCTTGCATGAGCTCATGCCACCACAAGTCAGTCCCCTGGTTCCAGGAAATCTGTAGCAGGAGGAAGACAGGAACAGATAAGGAAGAACTGTGAACAGGTCCAGGCTTGGGTAAGAAACAGTCTTATTTGGCATTTGGAAGGACAGAGGTGAGAATAGCAGATGCGGGGGTGCCTCAGGGAAAGAAGAAGAAAGGGGAGGGTCCTATGAGTGGAATGGGGCAGAGAAAAACAGTGGGCGTCCTGGGCACTCCTACTAGCCTGACAACCTTCCCCCAGCTTCTTCCTTAGGATTCCCCTTACCTGGCCTTGTTCTAAGGCAGGCCACTTGGTCAATACCTTTGTAACCTTCAATTCTCATTTTAAATGTCACTTTCTTGGAGACGCTTTCCTTGGTCAGCATCTTGTAGAGTCTCACCCCCTACTCCCACTCCTGCTGTGATTCTTGATCACAACACATATTCCAAATTGTTTTATTTTAGTTGTTTACTTAATTACTGTTTCCCCAACTAAATAGTGATATCTATGAAGGTCATGGAATGTCTGTCTGCCTTTTTAAAAAAAATTCTAGTTCCCCAATATCTAGCAAAATATCTGGCATCAAAAGTTATTTAATACAATTTTTGTTTGATAAATGATTATGTGTACACACAGGCCTGCATACACACATATGAATGTATGGGGGCATTGACTCAATAGCAAGGATGCAGACACCACACAATTCAAGACTGGTCATAGCCCACAGGTGAGGCAGGCACCTGACCCTGTTAGTTGGTAGCAAAAGTTAGCAGGTCTTGATCCAAGCACCTTTTCCTGCATGTCTAAACCTCCGTGACATCTAGAGTTACTGCACTTAGTTCTGTCCCTATCCTTACAGCACTGAGACCAATGGATTTCCCACAGAGATTTTGCTTAAGGGGGCAGGTTCCATTCAGCAGGAAGCCTTGCTGCAAGTTAATGAAACATGGCCAAGGTTGACTACTCACACTACAGGGATGTCCTGTATACCCAAGTGCCTGGATTTTCTTTCAACTTTCCTTGGAAGTCTTTTCCTTTCTTGACTCTGTCACCTCTTTGAACAACTCATTTTCTGAGTCTACTCTTGGCTGGTGAAAGTGGATTCCCTGAGTTTGTCCCAATATTGTACTAGATGTTAATCCCAGTTCTGCTATTTCCTAGTATATGTGACATTGGGCAAGTCACTTTTTCTCAAGTCATTCCATTTAAAAATGAGAATAATAACCCTAATGGTTAACAGGGTTTATGGAAACTCAAAAGAGAAAGGTATTACCTAGTAAACATTAAGTTTTGGATTGTCTCAGGGGAGACGGGGAGAAGTGGTGAATGTCAGGAGGGAACAAGGGTAGTCCAGTTCTCACTGTGTTTCTCTGGGAGATAATGATGGAAACCATTTGAGATTTGTTTGAGCTTTCCCAAAAACTTTGCATAAACATTAGCTTTTTGTATATTCAAAGACCCTGGATGGCAGGTAGACATGGCAATGTGAAAGAAACACCTTTCTTCAACTACATGGCTCTATGCTAATTTATATTTGTGTATATTTGATTAAAACCAAACAGCCACCACTATTCTGTCAGTTTGTCATACTGTGGTGGCTTGTGAGTTGCTGTGATGCTGAAAGCTATGCCACTGGTATTTTAAATACCAGCAGGGTCACCCATGGTGGACAGTTTTCAGATGAGCTTCCAGACAAAGACAGACTAGGAAGAAAGAGTGATGAACTACTTCCAAATATTTAGTCACTGAAAA